TTTTTTTTTTTTTTTTATATATATACATTTTTTTTATTAAAATAAGTAGCAAACCATCCAAACACTGACTTTTAATAGCTGTTAAGTCAACCAATCATTGCCCTTATTTTGCAGATACATACAGTGTCTTTCAGCAAATATGAACTTTTTGTCCATATTTCAAGTTTAAATTTAACCTTTACAACTTTTCTACCATGTTTTTACACCAGTAAACATCTTTCAACCTTTAATTTGCAACCAAATCTTTTTATTTTTTTAGACATAGTGAAAATGTGGTTAATCACACCATGTCCTTGATTTTTATGTATGGTGGAGAATCCACAATGCTGTGGGTCTGCTTCTCTCCTAAATATTTTGCAAGAGTGCAGTGACTAATGAATACCAGGATGTTTTCCACTGGGGAGAAATGTTTTAAGTAAAATATGACCAGTGGTCTGGATTCTACAAAATAACTTTAGGTATGAATTTAATCAATTAAGATTGAGACAGGGTTTTCAGGGTCTTGATAGTTCCAGCTTGATCAGCCAACCTGGTACAGCAATGGTCCATTCCTCACACAGGAAGGTGTTACTGGGCATCGATGGGATCCCGACGCCCGCCATGTTGGCAGCTCGCACCTGGAACTGATACTTTCTGTTTTCCCGCAGCTCTGACACCTGGCAGGCACAGACACAACCAGATAAATCATCTGCTGCTCATGCAGACAGCTGCAAAACATCTGGACGTAGAAAAGGGCTCCCGTGCGCTCACCCTGTAGGCCCTCTCGCTCACAGCCTTCACGTTGGCCTCGTGCCATTTCCCCGGCACGCCATCGACGACCTCACGGTAATCTACGAAATAGCCGGTGATGTCAGCTCCTCCAATGAAGGTCGGCTGCTTCCAAGAGAGCACCATGGCGTCGCGCACACACTCCAGAACGGTGATGCCATAGGGTGGAGCAGGAGACGCTGGGACAGAGGACTTCAAGTTAACGCCATTGCCTCAACAGAGAGAGCGTGCTCATGGGAAAGTGAAATAACAGGAAACTGACCCCATCTGGTCTAATGCACTCATCATCTTTATTAAATCAAACCGTTTTAATATTCCTTTACATCTGTTGCTAAGGAATTAAATACTGAATATGTTCACAACAAATATAGAATGCCCTCATATTCAGTTAAATATCATATGATGTTTAGGAGTACTACAGAAACACAACTAAGAGCGTAACTGTGAACTTGGTGTACTTTTTGGCGTCGAGGTCTGGAATTGGGCTCATAGTGTCCCAAGGGTTGGATTTCTGGAGTGTTTCATTTCCAGAAAGGTCAAGCGTCCTGCTCTCGTGTTTGTCCATTTCTGGGGCAGACTCAGACTGAGAGGCTCCAGATATGAAAAGTTTCTGCTTGTTTGAAAGTTAGAGTGCTCAGGGGGAAATCATCAGGAGAGCGGAAGCTGGTGCTGAGGTGACAGGCGAACGAGTCGGGAAGTGACTTAGGGCTAAGTACTGATAAGGAACTATGTTCTATGTTAAGAACTAAGTTCTTAGTTAAAGAAGGAACTGGTGAAGACTTACCTTTAATACAGAAGAATGCAGGTGGAGTTTTCCATTCGTCATATTTATATTAATTTTAGTACAGTGTTTTGTAAAGAATAAGTAGATCTTGAACCTTTCTCACATAGTCACAAACTGTAATGTATATTAATGGGATTTTATGGTCTATAGATGTTGTTCATCTAATTCAACTCAGCTTGAGCTTTTCTCAAAGAAGAAAAAATAAGTTCAGTCTTCAGATGTACGCAGAGCTGGTGGAGACATTCCACAAAGACTCGCAACTGTAATTGCAGCAAAACGTGGTTCTACAATGTATTGACTCAAAAGGCCTAATGACACCCTTTTAAAATGTTTATTTGTTAAAAATATGAAAGCTGTGTAACAGTTTTCTTCCACTTCATAATCATGCACTTTCTTCCATAAAATCCCAATAATAGACTGAAGTTTGTGGTGGTAAGGTGATGTGAAATAGCTCAAGGGGCATGAACTTGTGTACATTTGCAAGGTGCAGTAAACTTGGATGACAGAAAATTAAAAAAAAAATGTGAATATATTGTGTTTCTTTCTTGCAGCATCCGCTAAAGGGTTTCAGGTTCTCTCCTGATCCTTTGCACTCTGCTATTTACCAGGACCCTCTACAGTGAACTTACGTGCGCCACCGGGTTTTATGTCCACCACAGCAGTTTGATCCTGAATCTGAATGACTGTCTCAAAGTGTACTGCTGAGATTTTATCAGTAAGAAATTCAGAAACTGAGCCTGACTCTGAGAGGGGGTTCTGGTCTACAGACCATGAACCAGCAACCCTGACCCCCTCTCCGCTTTCAGTGTCAGCCTGAGCTTTATTGTGCCTTTCAACAGTGAAATGGGAAGGCTGGACAGTTTCATGCTTGTCCGTCCAGCGTGGCTCGTGCTCGGTTAGTGGGCACGCGTTACCCCCCGGCCCCATCTTCGAAAACACACCATGTGGAATGCCGCCCCCTATGGGTGTTAGCAGAGACAAGCAAAAAACAATGACTTAAACCAGGCAATAACAATATGTTGCAGCTAAATCACAAAACAACAATGGAGCACAACAACAGAAAAAAAAAAAAAAAAAAAAAAAAATGAACACGTAAACACATTATTCAGCACATGAGCCTGTAAAATAGAAAGCAATGTCTTCATCTGACTGGGAGGGAAAATGAAGACAAGATGACCGACAGGTGACATCCATGTGAGAATGAGAACATGCACCAACGTCTTATGACGTTCAAAAACAATGCCAACCTTTTCTACAAGGCACTCATTGTTCTACTATGGTTGTATTGCTATGAACAACATTTTTCCAACATTACTTTTTATTAATAGGAGCACATTTTTAGTTATTTGTTCTTGTTTGGGTGTCTTCTAGGATTCTTTTTAATTATTATTTTATTGAAAATAATAATCAATTTTAACACATATTGGACAAATAGGATTCAAAATAAATTTACCAAACATCTGCCTGCAAGATAAATACATTGGCATTGCTTCTGAGTGAGTTTCATAAGTACAAAAAGACTCTCAGCTTTAAATCAGCCAGTGAGTGTTAGTTAGGACGCTGGAGAAAGGTTTTGTTAGGAACAGAGAGGTGCTTATTGACAATTACAATACTTTTGCACATGCTGCACTTCCATTAAAATGTATTTGTCCCCTTATACTACAGACTTCCTCTGATTTTGCTTTTTGTCACACTTTAATCTCATTACACTAGACACACCCAGGCCTGATTACTGCCATATCTGTAGAATTAAAAAGTCCTGTACATAGAACCCGTCTGAGACCAGGTAGTAGGCTAAACAATTTCAGAAGAGAAGAGATGAGCAACAAATTCAATGACCTAAATCAGTCTGGATGTTTAAAGCCTGGAAATCAGTTGTGGCTTTAAGCTTAAATACACTTGGATTGTGCAAAAAAACAATGATGCATTACCCAGGAAATCTAACTCTGAAAGTTCCTAAACAAACCAAATTAATGTTTTGAAATGGCTTAGTCAAAGTCCAGACTTAAATCCAGAGCCTTTTGTATTTATTGTTTTTTGCCAATATTTAACATGTGTTGGATGATCTCGAACATTTGAGTGTGACAAAATAAAGAAAACTGAAGAAATTTCTTAAAACTTTGCATTGTCAAGTATAGCATGTTAGATCAGAACAATTGTTTGCCAAGTTAGCTTCAAAAGCAAATGCTAGAATAAGCAAACATGGAGCAGTCTAAAGGATCTGTCAGGGTGTGGAGGGTCCATCTTTTGGTACCTTCAGCAATTTCGACCCGGGAAAGGTGAGTCTGAGGAAAGGGGGATTGTGGGAAATGGTGTACCACATTGATCCGGTTTGCATCGACCGCTGAATTGGATCAAGTTGATCCAAAATAGAGGAAGTATACAAGTCCTGACCCCAACCCGCTTCAGGCAAAGCAGGAGGTGAGGCGTCTATAGGGTGGATGCAGCTGAACAGGGTGGTGTAGAGCAAAATTTTGGAGTGACAGAGTGGGAGAGTGTGGGAGTGCAGATGAAGACCTGAAAACACTTCTGACAAAATAACAGTGTCACCATTATTGTTGTTCTTCCATCACTTTTCCCCAGTAAGCTAAATACATTTCTGAATTTGGGGTCCATAACTAAAGAAATGTCAAAAGTCACAGTGTTGAGAGCATTCAGGAGACATTTTGTAAACAAGTGATCTATTTTCACCCAGTTAGTTAACTCCTAATTTATTTATTCCATATTAAATACTCAAAATATATAGTTCAAATGACAATTTTACACAAAGGGTTGAATAATCTAATATTTCCAGTATTTCTGACTATCCCGTGACTGATGTTTCTTTCACTCACCAATCGCAGCCTTTACTTCCACTGGTTCTGATACTGGGGAAAACTGGCTGAGCCCTGCGGCGTTCACAGCCCTCACCCTGAACACGTACTGCTCTCCTGTAATCAACCCATGGCAGATGAACCTGCAGGACAGTAAATTGAAATTTATGATCCATAACAGATGCTGATTTGTATCTGATTAATATCAGAAGAGCATTTAAAAAAAAAAAAAGTAGTTTTACCTTGTTGCCCGAACAGGCTTGTTGTTGCATGGCTCCCACACATCGCTTCCAACGATACTACACTCAATGTAGTATCCGACCAAATCTTTGACGTCCTTAGACGCCTCCCAGCTCACCACGACGGATGTGTCCGTGTTTCTGGTGGGGACGACTTTTCCCGGAGCCGATGGGATATCTGCGGATGAGATCATTTCATATCTTCAGGCTACTGTTGGTGTGATTTATTTACATAGTGATGTTCATTACTCTGAAACACCAATAAGTTAGAAATACTATTAATGGCTTCAAGACGAGCAGAACTGATTCTGGCTTTAGAGTCAATACTTAAAGTTGGCAGGTATTTCTTTGGCTCCATGATGTCAAAGTTAGACTTGGTTATTTATAAACGTATTTATATTTTTGGAGGGAAAGATGAATTTTTATACATAAAAAAAAACAGCCGGGTTATGTCTTTAACCAGAACTCTGGGTTTATGCTGTTCTGCTGGTAGTTTTAGAGAAACATTGGGTGAAATATGTGACCTACTTTGGCAAATCAAATAGTACACACAATTACTGTAATGGCAATAAAGGCTTTCCATTGGAGGGTAAAAAGGGTGTAAATATTTCTAAGGTAAGAAAAACAAAAACTGAAATTTGTTAGTATTATTATTATTATTTCATTGTATCCACATCTACACTATTAATGCAGGCACAATTTGCATTCAGAAACAAGTTTATTGGTTGAGTTCAAATTTAAATCTGCCTAAGGTATGAGAATTTTTAAATCAACTGTATGTTGATCAAAACCTACAGTTTTAATCTACGTAGATCTGGTTTAAATCTATGCTAGATTTGAACCAGATCGAAGTAGCAAAGTGTCCCAAATTAGGTTGTTTTTATCTGAACGTTTAGTCAGAAAAGCGTTTGATTCTGGGCAAAAGATGCCACAAAGACATTGATAAACAAATGATTTTTTTTGGCACATAGTATAATAACACAGACCTTTGTCTGTGTTATTATACTATGTGCCAAAAAAAATCTAAGTCCTGCAAGTTACTGTATCTTCTGACCAAGCTTGTCGCCCACAGTGATGGCTTCAGTTGGCTCAGATGGTTCGCCGACTCCAGCAGAGTTGCAGCAGCGGACACGGAACAGGTAGGACTTTCCCTCAGCGAGATCAAACAGAGCGAAGCGAGGAGACTTGACTGGGATCTCTGTGTTCACCCTCTGCCAGGTATCTGTGCCCGAGACACACTGGCAAACAAAACCAATAGCGTTAAACAGATTTTAAAATTTAAAAATTGCAACAAAATTTAAGTTTGCAGAACTTTGTCAATATTCACCTTCTCCACATAGTACATGACCCCTTCAAGGCCCTTCTCTCCAGGAGGCTTCCAGCTCAGGACCACATAGTTTTTGGTTGCCTCAGTCACTTGCAACTCACGAGGTCTGCCAGGAACAACGCCCTCTAGTCGTGAAAGGGTGAGTTGGACGGGGCCCAATCCTCAGGTAAGCAACATGACATCCAGTACTGTGACTTTCTTACCTGCAGGCTCCTCCTCTGTGACAATGATTTGGCCGGTCCAGGGTGCAGAAGTGCCTAACAGAAAAGCATGCATGTAATCAGTAATGTTTTGATGTTTACCACTTCCTGATTTTTATTCATCTTCCATTTTCAATATTTTCTACTTGCTTACCTTCAAACTGAGAAAGACTTAGCTGTAGTTTTCCTTTTCCTTAGCATGTTTTACTTTTATATGATCATGAATCTCTATGAATTTAGCACTTTCACCAAAGTCTTTTACCACAGACATAGTAAAGCTAGATCCCCTGGATATAGTACCTCTCATGCGGGCTCGATCGGCCGGATCCATTGCTGCCACCGGTTCAGAGACCCTAGACGGGTGGCTGATCCCGGTCTTGTTGACGGCTCGGACTCGGAAGATATAGGACCGGCCCTCCACCAAACCAGTGACGGGGAAACGGGCGAACTTGACCGGAGTGTCATTGCACTGAACCCAGTGAGTCGTTCCAACCTCACATCTGTTTATAACAACACAACTGCAGAATGTTAAACTGAATTGACAATATAGTTTTACTTGCAGTTATACTTTTAATAACCAGAAAACAATAAGAATTGTTTTTGTGTCATACCCTTGAATAAGACATTTTGAGGTTAAAGTCTGTCATCTTAATGAGGTAATATTTGTTCCAATTTCCTTCCCTTTCTGAGGTTCTAACATGTTTGAGGCAAATTTACTTTAGCTGCTACTACAATACATAGAAGTACAAATACAACTTCTGTGTTATTATGTCTTAGTTGTTATTCTTTTTTTGTCTGTGTCAACACATGCCCAACCACAAAGATATGTTATGAGATAGATAAGATTTTTGGGTTAGTTCCTGTAACTAATTGGTTCCTGTATCTCTAACTTTTCCTGGGATTGGACATGTACATGATTTGCTCTTGTGAGTGAAAGGCCGTTACACTTTGGACCTTAATTTTCACTTTCTGTTCTCCACAGTCACATCTTCACACCTGGTCCATGATATCATTGCAGGCTGTTTGTTTTGTTTTCTTTGGCCAATGTACATAACGCAATATGATATGTAGATGGATGTTGATAAATACGGGAAAAGACAAGGACAGTGTGTCACCTTCTAAATATACAGCCAAAGTCTAACCTGGAGTGAAAACAGGTCACACTTCTTAGCTTTGTATTAGATAAAAACATTTAAAAACCTCTGTATCCATTTCCTTAGACTTTATAGTGATGCTTTATTTTGTTTTTGTCTATCTCAAACAATGTGTAACCTGCACAAAATAAGAAACCCGTATTTTATTTTGGCGGGTCAAACTGACAGCACCCTTTAAGTTCCGGGTCACAGGTGACTCGGATTTCAATCGCTGTTGCTGCTGTCGCTGTGGCCAGCTGCTCGTCTCGGCGTCTTCTAAACGTATAGAAGAATACGGCTGGATCGAGGCTTACTAAAAGGGCCGAAGGATTAAATTGGGTGTTTCCTGCCGACCGCTCGACGGTGAGTCGTTTAATTTACGTACTTTGTTTTCTTTGGAAATAGAAATGCGGTGGCGACACGCCCACTTAATAGGTGCATTAACGACTGAAAAGTTAATTTATTGATTTAAAAGGTCATTTTCTTTTTGTTAATTTTGTGGCCGAATAGATTATATGTTGTTAAAATATTAAATAGGCCTTTTGATTTTTGTAGATTCGTCCTTTTAGGACAGTTTATTTATTTTTTTATTGATCGATTTTTGCTAACGGCCTATAGAACTCTGGGCTTGGTCATTTGTTTTTTTATTGGGGAGTTGCGCAACGAAATAAAAGGAAAAAAAAACAATTGTTTATTGAAACGATATGGAAGTCAATTAAGTTTAATTGGCTGCGTCAATTAAACTTGGGTATAATGTGAAAGTACACTTTAATTTGATCTGTACCGGTAACTTTAATAAGGTCTATACCCTTGATTTGAATCTGAATGTAACTTTGTATCTGATCGCGATCTTTAATTGGAAATTCATTTGAAAAATTCATGAGAAAACACTCTATGGAATATAGTTATTTGTTTATTTTTTCGTAATTGTTGAATGTTTCTTTATTTTGGATAACAGTTTAACAATGTTTAAACATGACAGCTAATTTGTTTTATTTTTATTCATGACCTTGTTTAGGTCAGGTTTTTTCCACCCCCTGTGTCACGTCAGGATGGCGAGCTACCGGATCACCGCAGCTTCGCGGTAGGATTTAAATGAACCAAGCTGTTTTCTCATTCTGGACCTATTTGCTCTGGATCATGGACAAAAAGGGACAAAAAAAAGCAATTAAATATTGACTGATGGACTATTGATCATTTGGATTCATGAATGGACCAAAATAGAAACTCTTGGGTGACATCAGGGTTTATTGTTTTTTTGTTGCTGAGTGCTTGTTTTTTCCTTTTTGTGTTTTTGGTTATATTATAGAAAATCACTGTTATTATAAATATTATTATTATTGCATATCTTCATATATATATGAAAGAAAAAAACAAGTTGAATACAATAACTTTGGCTGTAGTCAGGCGCCTAGCCTTAACTAGCGTTACAAATGCAATGAAATAACATGGGCAATCTGTGGCCCATAATTTTGCACTGGTTTGCTCACGTTTCAGTAATTATTCACTCAAGGTTAGTATGAACCAGATCCTTTATATTTTAAAACACTGTCCTTTTTGTAGTATACAGCTATTTTTATTCTCAAAGAAAAAATATTGGCTATGGACTATCGGCAACTCGAGCATACGACATAGTGCATTGTAGGATTAGCTAAACTAACAAACCAGAGCAAAATTACAAACCTGTCAACAAAGTAGCCCAAGATGGCGTTTCCTCCCTCAACAGCTGGTTGCTTCCAGGTAACAATAATGTAATCCTTGTTGGCGTCCAGACAGCGTACGTCCAGTGGGGCTCCAGGAGCACCTTCCACCTCGGCATCTGCATCTAAGCATACAATATCGCCATGGCCATGATAAGTATGTTGATAATATATTTCTTCATGTTCCTAGCACTAGAATCGCCAAGCAAAGGGAATTATTAAGCTGTTGGGTGTTAATGTATCACTTCATTTGATTATTCTATAAGTTATGAATACTTGTTGAGTCACAATGTGCTTTTTTGAAGCAAGTGGGAGTTATGGCTATCGCACTGACTTTAAGTGCTGCTTTCTAAGTGCTTAATTATCAACGATAATCATTTTCATAAAGAAATCTTGGCATCAAGGTTTTGTTTTTTACATCTGGCGCATCATGAACTTTGGCCAATGTCCTAGACCCCTGTTAACATATCAAAGTCAGCTAATGTCAAGGGTAAAGCTCATTCGTGTTCATAAACAACAGTTTGACATCATCTGTTACTATAAATTCTGAAACAATGAATATTTTTATTTATTTATTTTATTTCCTTTATTTAACCAGATCCATGGATCTGCAGATCTCATTTTCAAGGGGGACCTGGGCAAAAGTCTGTTTAAAGGGGTCAGAGGGAACAGTTGCTTGTAAAAAGGGTTTAAAATATTGAACATTTGTATTATTAATTAGCAAAAATATACTTTGAGGGAGATAACATTTAATATCCAAGTTAGCGCATTGAGTAACTTGAGCAGTGTGTCTGTTCTTTCTGAAAGCCTTTATTAAACTCACAGCTCTTACAGCCAGACTCATTCCATTAATAAACCTTCTTAGCTGCAGCCAAGACCAGAGTGTTTTTGTCATGGAGATCATACCGTCGCCTCTCCTTTTTCTGGGCAAACATGAGCTTGCCACAAGGGAGAAATAAGGGTCTATTTTCTAACCTCTTCATGCTCCTCATGACTGGTATGCAGATGCGGAAACCATGTTTGACAGGTTGTCTCTGAAGGCAACAAAGATAAGTTCAACTGACCTGTTTTCCATGGCATTCAAACGCATGCCAGAGACTTGCCGCTCAGCAGTGCCTCCATTAGCAATATCCTATTTAAAACCACTCAATGACATTCAGACGCTGATAAATAAACAGCGTCATTATCAGGTGCCAGTGCGTGTGGTGTTGTGACTGTGACCTTGATCTCATGAGACACAAGCAAAGGCGAGGGAATCCATTGAGTTCAGCTTGGGTCGACGTGGATTACAACCATTTAAGTTATGTAAACAAATAGCGTGTGTTGGGTTTATTGCATTGTTTTGAACATATGTGGATCAAATTTAGCCAATACACACAATTAACACTTCACCTCTAACGTTTTCCGATAAAATATCCTTAAAAGAGGTTTACCTTTGACAAACACATAGGCAGAGTAGGTCTCGTATCCAGACTTAGTGGCGACGCGCAGAGTGTAGAGCCCCTCGTCCTCCTTGTTGAGGTGGGTGAGTGTCAACGTGGCTCGGTCTCCACTCCAGTGCATGTGGGTCCATTTAGATGGAGACAGCAGCACATCTGAGCGACAAAGCATGAGAGGTGGTGATCGCATTTACAGTAACGTGAACTGAAGTTATCAGGTTGGACGAGGGTTTAAAAGTGAGCCAGTGTAGTAATACATGTCTACCCACCATCTCTGTACCACTGAACCTCTGGCTGGTAGCGGTGGAGAGCTGGGTAGATGATTACTGTGCAGCCCAAACTCATGGTCTCCCCCTCTCTTCCAAACGACACTCCAAAAGTATCAACGATGTGAATCTGGAACGTGATGCCATACTCAGAAACTGGGCCGACTGGAGGCAAAGAAGATAACTAGTTATTGGAAACTATATGTTGTGCATGACATCTAGATATTTTTTTATGCTGCTTGCTATATTTAATTTGACAGTAGAGTAAAAGGAATAAAGTAACAACGGAATTAGACGTGTTGGGACTGAAATTTTAAAACCAATGCAGGAAATTAACACTTACGTCTGGGAACCGGCAGTGTTTCATCAATTTCACCTTTGAACCCTATGGAAAAGAGCAGGAGCTGCTATAAATACTTGCAGTACGCAGCATACAGCGTTGTATGTCAGTCAAGATGAACTGTATGTACAGTATTTTAAGAAAATATTGCAAGAGCATATATAAACTCTAGTTTTGACTCTTAAATATGCCTTTAAATAATTTTATATGTGATCATGAGGGTTGTGATAGTGCCGGGCTTCGGTGAAACCTACGTTTGACAACGACAGAGGCAATTGCAGACTGCTCTCCTTGCGAATTCATGGCAGAAACACGATACTGGGCAGTGTCATCAAAATCACATCTGCAAGATGAAACCATTAATTAGTATGCATAATATGCACATAATATCAATGAGGGATTCACAGGTTTGGCGCCATTTCTCTGTAACTCCAGCAGCAGGCCTCTTAACCATGTGTACATAATACCAACGATGTGGGCCCCAAGCCATAAAGCATCCCAAAACTCTGAGCCAGGAATACTCTGGCAATAACTAGACACCACTGGTGATGTCATTTCCATCTAACGCAATGGGGCCGGTGTACTTGAAGGTACGTGTCGGGTTGAAGTACCAGAAACTGAATCCGATGTTGGCACAAACAAAATATGCAGGAAAATCAGCCCACTTTGTGAGTTTGGTTGTTTACGTAAGAAGTAAAATGTGATCTATGGATGGGGCCGGCGTTCCAACCAGGATGCACACAGAGGTATTTAATGAAATGCATATAGGCAGTTTAGAATAATGCGTTACATGAACATTCCTACTTTCCATGCTAACTAGTTACTTAGCTAGCAAGATTTAGAGAGAAAGTCAACCAGTTAGATAAATAGTGTGTTCAGCTTGTACTCTAAAGATGAGATGCTAAGTGGTGATAACTTCATATCAGTTTTTTTTTTCAAATGCTTCAGTGCATTTCTCTAAACAAAATTTAAATTCTCACTCTACCTCAGTCCCATTTGATACATGAATTTGGTTGAGTTCCTACAAACAAGTTTTTAACTCCAATAGTATTGGTATACATGGTATTGCTGTAATCTAGTTCACATATGGGTCGTATGGACATAGTCTGATAGTGAACAACATTTTCTTTTCATTATATAATCTTTATGGTGAGGAGATATTCAATTGGGTAAATTAATATTTTATTTTAAAACAAATATTCACATATTAAAACTAACTAATAACATTGTCCTTATGAGTAACTGATGCCTGTGTGTGATTTCAGTCATGTAAGTAAGAATAACGGAGGGTGTTCTAATTTATTCCGCCCCAGAAACTGCTTTTTCAAACTACAGTTTACAGGAAACCCACTAAATATGTCATGGGATGTCCTAAAATTCATGCCATAACTGTTTATGTTATATCAACCATGTAGTAATCAAATGCTTCTATTTTGTTGATTCAAGAACATTCATTTTGTTAAGAGGTGGTTAGCATTGTTTTTTTTGTTTGTTTTTTTTATAAGTATTATCCTGTGGAAAGTAACTTACGTTCCTCTGTATATAAAGTACTTTATAATTGATTTTAAGTTCAACAGGGGAGGCTACACTTACTTGTTAATCTCCAGCGAGTGCACATTGTATCTGCTCTCCAGTTTAAACTTGCCAGGATTGGCAAGTGGGTCAATTACCACATTGTTTTTGTACCTTAGATTAGGAGGTAGGAAACATAACAGAAGACAGATAAAAAGGAGAAGACGTAAAAGAGCCAGGAAAGATAATTTTGAGAATGTTCAGAAGGAACTAGAAAGAGGCCAGGAAATCCAGGAATGATTAGAGGTTATGTTCTAGGTGATTTATGTCTGTGGCCTACCAGATGACCCTGGGGTCAGGCCAGCCGCTGACAGTGCAGTGCAGCCGCACACACTGCTTCTCCCACACCGTGTGGGAGCGAGGTTTAATCACGAACTCCGGGGCGTGCATCAGGCTGTCTTCGTTCATCCTCTTGAAGTGTTCCTCGTGCTCATGGATCTAAACATAGCAGAGGGAAAACATTCAGGATAATTTCACCTTCGCCACCAGTGAACATCTAAATCGAACAAAACAAGGCTCCATAAATGCAGCAGGAATTCACATTGCATACCCAAACAATGCAAATTCTGCGCTTCTTTTAATTTCAGATGCACATGCAAGCCTTGAAGCAGCAGCATGTGTTTTAAGAATGAGTGCAGTGCATGATTTTTTATTATATTCTAATTTTAGCTGGATGTGTGTGGCTACATGCCATCCAGCTCAAGACCACAGGGACTCTGCTTCCATGTACCTCAAGAAAAGCAATCTCCTTAAGAATTTGTCACCCACTAGTGAGCTTGCCTGGCAGAGTGGAGACAGATAAAGGCTCTGAGGGTGGTAACTGGTGTTTGTAATGCTTGTTAAATGGCCCAGCTACTACTTCAAATAATCACTCGGTTATATAAATAACTTTCTTGTGTAAAATGATGTAAGAAAATGCACTCAACCTTCCTACTGACCGCAGAAAGTAACTGCGGTTCAGGTAATAGTAGAGTCAAAATAGTAAGTGCTACGAATGTGAATATTGCTTTTAACCGGTTCCGTATTTTACAATGGGAATACATGTACAATAATTCAGCAGGTTAATGGATCATGGTTTGAGGAACAACAGGTCCTATTACATATTTGATGCATGTAATATGGCCTTTTGTGTACAATGCATTTGAATTAGGTGGTACGGGGTAAAATTTATATTCTTCTACTTGATTAGAACATGGTTACATTATTTTGCTTTAACGTCTCATTAATTATATTAAGAAGTTTAATGCCTCTACAACCCTTTACTATCACAGGATGAGTTAAAACTTCATCATCGCAGACTAAACCATCTGCATGAATTTAAATAGTACTTGCATTGATTCTGTAACAGTATGTACAGATTTCCTAGCTAGTGTGCATTCAGCTAAAACTGGATGCTTACCTGTCAATATCTGACTTTCAGCCATACTAAATGTTTTCTGTTTCAGGTCAGGGATTATTAACAATATGCTTTGTGTTTGGCAAATCCCAGAATAATGAAAAGATCTTTTTTTTAAAGAATGTTTTATTAGCTTTATTAGTTTCTTCAAACTCTAAAGTTTAAATACATTTCCGTAGTATTTGGTGGAATTGGAATGGGATCAGTTCTTTGTTATTCCTTCTTCTAGGCATTCACATTGCTACTTTGTAACTAATTTAGCACTATGCTGGCTTAGTGTTATTTTCCATTGGAGCCTTAACTTCTTGTTTGATGTCTTAAAATATTGCGTCAGTACTTCCACATGATGTTTTTCACTCATGACTCTAAAGCAAGGTCTGTCCCTGAGTGGACATTCAAACTGTAATCAGGCTTGTTATGTTTCTTTGTGAATAACAGCTTCCTCCTTGTTGAGTGGTCTTACAGCCCATGTTGGTACTGGATTTGTTTCACTGTGGATAATGACGCTTTCTTACTAGCTTCAGCCTGCATCTTTACGTCTTCAGCATCTGTTCTTGGGTTGATACACAAAACACATTTATCTCCCTTGTAAACGGTATGACAGCTGGGCATTCCTATGGTGTTTATATTTGTGTAAAATTGTTTGAAGAGGTTAACCTTGAGGCATCTGGAAATTCTGCTCAAGGATGAAACAGACTTTTGGAGGGCCACAATTTGTGATATTTTACCTATGACATCCACAAGTAGTGTGGTTGTAGTGTCCTTGAGGTGTTACGCTAAAATACACCTGCATGTGTTTCTCCATTTAGCTCAGATGTGGTGATTTAACTGATCAGAAGTTCACAAAGACATGAAATGATCACCCGGGAAAACCTTACATTGTTGAAATACATAGTAATCATAGTGATCTTAGTGAAGGGAAACTTCTGAATTTGAAGATAGTAATAAAAAGAATATCTATAAAGTATCACTCTATTATTTAGATTATTCTAATTATTCTAGTTGACCTAAAATAGGAAAAGCTTAACCTGATTTTATTGACTATGGCAAAAAAAAAAATGGTAATCTGAATACCAACATGACATGGCACTGACCCGTTTATTCAGAGAGATGCGTTCAGCCGACTCACGCATGGCCTCCTTCCTGGAAATCACCTCTGACCTCTCCATCTCCAGACCACTCGTAAACAAGTCCCTGCGGGCCATGTATGCAGCCGTGTCTCTCACTCTGGCCTCCTCTGTGTCTGACAATCCCGTAGCAAACTCTTGACTATCGGTGTCAGCGGAGCAGAACCAGGAGTGGGTTTGGAGGAGTGAGAGTTATCAGAACTGAAATAGCTCGAGACAGTGCGAAACTTTGAACGTTTTGTTACCTGCCCCTGAAGATGGGCACTACATAGCCGATGATTTGGTTCTCTTTGTCGAGAGCCAAGTAAGATGGCTTGGATCGCTTGGGTAAGGGGCTTAGTCTGTTCTCCTCCAGTCCCAAGTGAGAAGACACCTTAAGTCTGAGACAAACACAACAGCATCAGTCTGGCACAAGCCAGACAGTGCAACATTTCATAAGACAATGTAGATACTTCATCAGCGCAGACTAAACATCTGCACTGATGTTTAGTCTGCACTGTAGATAAAGGTAAAGCGAGGAATTGATTAGCAGTAGGTTAACATGAAATGATGGAGACAGTTTAGTCTTTATTGCAGCATATTTATACCTACCAACAACAGTTTGATTGATTTATCTCCAATCTACCATAATGGAAAACATAATTAAGGCCTGACCAACTCACTAAAAACTTCCAAATCCGTTTGACATTGCAAGAAAATCCAGAGCAATGAAAATGGCCAAGAAGTATAGCCTTAGTTCATTTTTTAGCTTCTCTATTTACAATGTTTCCATTCAAAACAAGCCATCTCTGTCCACTGTAATCCCGGTTAAACTCTGCTCTTGGGGATTGTGATTGTGTGGAAGTGGGGTTTGGTATTTGAAGTATGCGATAAAACAATCTCCACAAAGTAAGGCAATCTGCTAGGAGCAGCTCTCTTTTTCCATGTCTGTCTTGGTCAATTCCCTTTAAATAACCTGTGCATTCATTTGACTTTCCAAGATAAAACTTGCAAAAGAAAATCCCAAAGAACAACAACTTTATTCACAAAAAAATGCATTCATTTGCTATGGTCTAAAGATATTGGTACAGATGGAGCTATCAAAAGTGTTGGGTAAAATAAGCATTGTGTTGGTAGGTAAATCAGGACAGTAATTGGTGATGGGCTAATAAACATGCAGAACAACAGAAAATATGATGGCATCATAAAAAAATCCTTGCAATATCATAACCTTCCTCATTTATCTTTAGTCACCACAGCACAGATTTTTTTTTTGTGCCAATGAGCCAATCTTCTAAAATTTCATCTATGAGATGACGTTTAAAGACCCTGATCTTGTTCACACTCAGCAAGTTGGCTTGTCACTAGGCTGTAAGCTTTGATGCACTATGGAGAGGAAAAGCATAGCATACTCCTCCCAAATCTTTGTGAGTCTGAATAAGCTCAAAATCATCTACAACATTTCTTTCATTATTTCAATTCATTCTTCTCTTTAATATTTTTTGGGGAACATATCGCACATTAACACAGTGAAACACATACAAAAACAATCTTGTCTTTAGAAACACCTTCAGAAACACTGCCAAAACAATCAATACAAATGTGATCTGGTGGTGAAATTTTAGTTACTTTGGGATGAATGTGTTAAATATTAGTCTCATTCTGTATGACAACACGCGCTGCATCTCCGGAATAGCATGCAAAGATCAGCATGCAGGACACCAACCAGTTTTGAGTTGATACTGACAGGAATAATCTTCAGTTTTGAATGAAGGCTCGTCAAAGTGAAATTAGGGATAATTAAGAGGGATAAAAAGTGGTTACTTGGTGTAAAGGAAAGATGATCCCAAAGCTCTGACTGGGAAGAGTTCCAGTAGGGTTGATGGAGGTGAACCAGCTCAGCTGGGGTGGGGAAGGCAGAGGTGTTAGAAAGGTAGTAGGGTTTTCCTTGGATATTGTAGTTAACTACCCCAGTCTTCTTCTCCCCTTCCTCCTTCTTACCCCCTGCTGGCGGTGGACAGGCTGGTTCCAGCAGAGTACCTGCTGCTGGACTGGTAGTGCCTCATTTTAGACTCTGCCTCCGTGCTACGGTAGCTACGGTCGTAGTGGCGGTGGTGCTTCTGGTAGAAGGGTATTGATCCAGACATGTTGCGTCCCAGAGCTTCTTCTTGTCTTTCTGTTTGTCACGTTAGTTCAGTTAAACAGCAGGTTCATCATCTTTTACTCTCTGCTGTTGCACATAAATTTAGCTTTCATGATAAGAAAAAAAAACATAACTGTAGTTTAAACACTTCTAGATGATTTGATTTAAAAAGAGAGGCTCAAGCATCAAGAAACTTGCAGCATCTGCTTCAGAGACATCCGTTTCAGACAGTCAGGCACTTCACTGACATGCTTAATCAGACATATGCACCAATTACAACCTGGCAAGCTGTATTCTCATCCCCCGCAGGAGTCCACTTACCCTGTGCAAAATCCCTCAAACTCCAACCTTTTCAGAAAAATAAAGGATCCAAATCCACTCTTTACAGCTTAATAGCCCAGCAAACCCACAGGTAGGTGCTTACAGTGCTGCGGGCTACACAACCAAAATAATGTTGGCTCAGGCCAGAGTGTCCAAGCTGCAGTCGCGGCCTTTTAAGGAGAGGGTGGAGATAAATATAGCAGGGAGCCGAGTCGACTCTGATAGTGGAACACATTTATGGGTGCAGGTTTTCATGCCAGTAACTGTGGTGTGAAGGTAAACACAAATCTGCTCTTAAAGTTAGTTCAATGACTGATTGAATATTCCCCAATGAATCCCTAAGCTGATGCACTTTTACATTTTCCTAATTTTCCATCTGGACTGTGGCCGACTGTCTGTCAGAGTTAGTTAACCTTCAGCAGCTTTTGTCCTGCTTTTTACTCCAGCAGCCTCAGCTGTGACTGATGCTAACTTTAGCTATGCTATTGTTACTCCTTCACATTCAACAAATACCAGTCCCTATGTCACTCTCTTTTTCAGCCCCTCTCATTGCTAGAAGAGCATGAATGTCCCCTCTTGTCACCAGCAGTCTGCAAAGAAAGATTACATATCAAAGTGATCGATATTCATGAACATCAGTGTATTGTATTGGGATTTCGTGCCACGGATCATCACAAAGTTGCACATATTTGGGAAGTGGAACAAAAATAATGTTTTTTTTCTTAAATAAAAACTGAAAAGTGTGTTATGAATTTGTGTACCGTATCTGAACCAAAGCTTTGTGCAAGATGAAGATGGTCATGTTTACTTAAGCTCAGTTAGACTGATTGTCATTGTACTGCATTTTTTCAGTCTTGTCACAGATTCTCAACTGGATTTAGGTCTGGACTTTGCCAGTGAGGTGTCCAACCTAGGGATATTGTCTTATAGTCTAATCCTGTTTTGAACTTCTCCACAACTTTATCTCTTACATTTCTGGTTTGTTGCGCAGTGTCTGTTTTACTGTTTTACTAAGAGGTGGTGTTGCAAACCTCTTAGGCCTTCACAAAAATATTGACTTTTTACTGGGATTGACGTACAAAATGTGGACTCTACACTTAGAATTGATCCAAGTTTAAAATAAATGTGTTCTTCTTACTTTACAAAGAAGTACTATATGCATTGCTCTGTCACAAAAACAAACCTGGAGAAAAAGGTAAAAAAAAAAAAAGGGGGTATAACTCCTTTCACAAAGCACTGTGTTTGATGTTGGCATAAACAGATTGACATATCTTTCCCTTTTGAATAAAGCATCCAACAGCAGGTGGACAGATTTAGTTTAGGTGCCGCAGATACTTCAACGTCGTCCTGGAAATTAACTCAAGTGTCCGGTAATTTTCCATCCCACAACATTTCCGATGCTTTTGTTTAGGGACCTTCCATCTTTTCTGGCCTTTATCCATCACATTCCCACATAATACAAGGGTCAGCATGACAGCATAGCCGAAATGTTGTGGCAGTCATGTGAAATGTGAGCCCATTAAAAGAGATCAACCAGCCATTAAATGTGGGAGGTCACACAAGACACAAAGAGGACAACATAGCTGGAACATTTTTCATCAACATAACAGGTTGAAAGTACTTGTTTTGTTTTGATTTGATATAATTAGTTGTGCACTCTAAACATTTAACTTTTGTGGGAGAGTCAGAAAAACCATCAAAAATACTGCTAGTAGTTTGTCACCAGCTAGGTAAGGGACACAGCAGGCATGTGGAGGAAGTTAGCCAGCACTGCACATCACCTTTAACGCACCATTCCCATGGTGACACATGGTGGTGGCAGCATCTTGTTCTTCTTTTATTGCAGGGAAAGGGAAGTTGCACCAGGTAAATAAAATGAATACAATGTGCTGCACAGTTTTTGAATGTTTATTTAGAAAACATTTACTATCTTCCTTCAACGCCTTTTTATGTTGGTTTGAAACACACAATAGTAATAAAGTACATTAACCCTTAGGAGTTAACCCTTAGGCATCCTAAGGGTTAAAATGTTTTTCGACAAAAGGATTTTTTACACTTTTGCAATCACAAAATTGCAGTAGATCTAAACATTTGATTTATTTATGGGTCAGGAACAAATTAATTATCTGATTTGGATTAAAGCAGCAGTGTTGCTGTAGACATGATAATATATGCAACTGTAAGTGAAAAATAGGCAGAATAATTATTTCATAACATCACCAAGGAAAGTGAGTTTTCCTGCTACAACAGCGCCCTCTAATGTTTAAAGTTGAGACAAAGATGACAACGATCAAAATTCAAAGCTTTATTGTCTTACACACAGTAAGGAGACATGTTTCAATATACAATGAAGTTCTAACTTTGCTGCCAATACTACATGGCGTATAAAATATATGAATAATAAGGTACAATAAAGGACACAACATCTAATTAACAAATAGAAAAATGAATTGTACAGAAACATAGACTAAGCAGAACATAAAGTATGTACGTATTTGTGCAGAAAATGTGCTGCATTAGCTAGTATGTGGAACAGTCAGTAGTGAAGCAGTGAAATATACAGATTGTGCAATCAGACAAGTATGCTTGTATGATACTGTGCTGAACCATAATGTCCAAACATCCACTGTGTTCATCCATTTATCCTATAGAATCTCAGGGGACTGCTGGCGTTCATTTCCAGTGGTCATAGGAGTTCTCCCTGAACAGGTCACCACTTCATCACAGGGCAACACAGTGACAGCATAAACAGATGTGTGTTTTGGGCAGTAAGAGGAAGTCGGAGAGCCTTAGGATGACCCACCCAAGCATTGTGATAACATGCAAACTCAATGCAGTCATTCGAATCCATGTCCTCGCTGCAAAGCAATAGTGCTGCTAACATGCAGCACAAATATTGGACATTTATGCAGCACAAAGCTCAATAAAACACTGTTTACAGATTCAAATTTATTGATGTTTACTACAGTATGCTTTCTATGTGTGTCTTTATGTATGTTTTATGAGGAAGTAAAGTCACACATCTCTTTAACTTGGTACCAAGGAACCAAGCTTGAGGCAACAATCCTCCAAATAAATTTTGAAGAGAGAAACAAAAAGCAGACATGATACATCCTCCTAATTTGCATTTGCTCTATTGTACTGATCTACTGGGACAAATTGGAGAGGAACAATTCCCCTTTTAAACTAATAATAATAAAAAAAACTCCAGCTGAAACTAGTTAGGCAACCAATTGCAATGACCAAATGAAGACAGATAAGATACAATACAAACTCAAAAGCACTTGATCGAGACTACTTATATTGAAAATAAAATCAGCACATGTCACATATCACAACACATGTCCAACTTTGTTGTTATTAGATTAGAGATGAGTTAGACATAAAAGACAGATGTGGCTTATTTTAAACATTGAGTCAACCACATGTCACTTTTAAAGCCTGGAAACTCAAAGCCTCTTTTGAAAACATTGACTGCTGAAACAACAGTTGTCTTACTCATGGCTGGACAGGCAATAGTTATAAATATCCATCATGACATCATTTTTTTCAGTTATTGTTCTCAATTAAGCAAATGAACAAGCATTGTTTTTATTTATCATATTATTCAAGTAACTTCATGTCTTATTTGGGGGAAAGAAAAAAAAACCTTGACAAATAAGTCCTTAAGGTTACATGATACATCCTGACAGCAACATATGGGACAAAAAAAATCTCCTTACCTTTTTGATGTTTACCCTCAATGGAGGAAGATGTCAATGTCTCCTGGACACATGTCCATAACATTATGTTCAGATTTCTGTTCAAAATTCTTTATTATTTGATCTAATGTAATATTCAGATTTTAAGGTGAACTAAAAGTTGAGTTTTCAATAACTATCACTAAAAAAAGTAGAATAAACTCATAAAATGTATTTGTTCATGTAATGAATCCATTATGTGAATTTTATATTTTGATTTGGATCCCTGAAATAAATTAACTTTTTGATAATATTCCAATTTATTGCATACGCACTTATATTTGATTCGCACAGGACTATTTAAATTTTTATCTCGATTTAGGACTTGCGAAAGACAAAGGAGGACGTCTGCTTCCTTTCCTTAAAAGGGCATATCCAAGAATGTCAAGGAAGCGTTTGTGGGGAGTTACACTTTTTCAACCGGGGGAAGGTTGAGAAATTCCTACATTATTTTCCATATAAGCTCAACTATTCACGTGAACTTTTATAAATACGTTGATAAAAAGCATAATTTCAAAACTCTTTATAAGTGAAAGGTATCTACATTTGTTTTATAAAGAGAAAAAATTGTATTATAAACGGCGGTCACCCCCATGTTTATGTACTTGGTTTATTCCGATGTTCAGCTCTGAACCCACAGCATCAGGAAGTAAAGGGCGGTGGTTGAGAAACGAAGCAGCAGCTAATTAGCTTGAAAATTATTTCCCCGTAACAAGGTAAGAAAGCGTTTAAATTGAGGTCTGAACATAATTTAGCAACACATAAATCTCCTTTTCATATTTATGTTGTATTGAAGTTGTATCCTTTAAAACTTGACTAGAAAATAACGGCAAAATTTACGGTTTGTCGTGCTCGGCTAAGACCAATAATAACAGTTAGCGACACAGCTAACCTCACGGCAGCTAACGTTACGGCATAACGTTTTTAATTTGATTATTTAGTCACCGGGTTCCGTTTGAAAAGGTAGTTGTTTGCTTAAACGGTTAAAGAATATTGCTGTATTAATCTTCTGCTCACGTTTATTGTGCTTACTTTATTGTATAAACTAGGCCGCAAAGCACTTTTTGAGAGTGGAAAAGGTAACAGATTTGACGACCTGCTAATTGTTGCTTACTGCTGTTTGTTAATAAGAAATTATATAAAAGTCACGTTTGTGACAGTTGTACGTTTGTCCAAAGATGCAAAAATAAAGGTAGATAATAAATGTGTCAATAGTTATTTGTGAAATCAGTAGTTTTTGTATTAACCAAGATGAGGCGCTATTAAAAATATGTTTAGAGCACTCATTGAAATTTGTTTAAATTGATCTTATCTGAATTAATTGGGTTGTTGTTTTTACCTGTTTGTGACCAGTTCTTAATTGCCCATGCTGTAAATACAGTTTAAGCATCCTTTACAGACAAAACTACTGCAA